CTCTGGGTTTTTTTATAATTCCTAAATGCTAACTTTTTGTTTTTAACTATTTTGGCCACATCTGCGGAGTACCACAGTGGTTTCTTGAATTTTTTGCTTTTACTGACAAGCCTAATGCAATTTTCTGTTGCCTTCAATAGTGCAACTTTTAAATAATCCCATTTCTCTTGGACTCCATTTAAATTGCTCCAGTCTGATAATGACTCCTCTACCCATATTCTAATTTTAGAAAAGTCTGTTTTTCTAAAGTCTAAAACTTTTGTTTTTGTGTGGTGTGACTCAGTCACTGTTCTTATATTAAACCACACTGACTGATGATCACTGGATCCTAAACTTTCACCTACAGTAACATCTGATACCAAATCTCCATTTGTTAACACTAAATCTAGTATGGCCTCTTTACGAGTTGGCTCCTCAACAACTTGTTTTAGAGACAATCCCAGTAGGAGTTTAGAATATGTGTGCTCCTGGCACAAGTAGCTAATTTTGTTTTCCAATTTACATCAGGAAGATTAAAGTCACCCATGATGATAACTTCCCCCTTCATTGTCATTTAGCTATTTCCTCAACTAGTAGATTATCTAACTCTTCAATTTGTCCTGGGGGCCTATAAATCACACCTACACGAGTTACTGTGTGATTACCAAATTCTAACGTAGCCCAAACGGACTCTATGTTTGCCTCACTAACTTTTATTAGGCTAGATTTTATCCTATCCTTCACATACAAGGCCACCCCTCCCCCTTTCTTGCCTTCCCTATCTTTCCTATATAAAGAGTACCCTGGTATTGCTATGTCCCAGTCATTTTTCTCATTGTACCATGTCTCAGTAACAGCGACTAAATCTACACTATCAGTTGCCATTATTGCCACAAGTTCATGGATCTTATTCCCTAAACTGCGAGCATTTGTAGACATATGTTTTACTGTTTTAAAACACTAATATTTGTGTTTAGTGAAGTCTCCCGAGAATAACAGTAGCTCCCATGTACAAGTTTTATGGTGTTTTGGAAAGTTAGAGAGTCACATATAAGGCTTGCATTTCATTTTTTTGACATTGAAATTTGCCAGATTGCTTATGTTGCCTTTGAGAGCGGATGGTAGCCCAGGAATGAGAATTACCCCCATGATAGCATACCATTTGCAAAAGTAGACAACCCGAGGTATTGCAAGTGGGGTATGTCCAGTCTTTCTTAGTAGCCACTTAGTCACAAACACTGGCCAAATATTAGTTTTTTGCTTTTTTCACACAAAAACAAATATGAACACTAACTTTGGCCAGTGTTTGTGACTAAGTGACTAAAAAAGACTAAACATACCCCACTTTCAATACCTTTTCTTGTCTATTTTTTCAAATGGTATGCCATTATGGGGGTAATTCTCATTCCTGGGCTACCACACCGTCTCAAAGGTAACATTACTAATCTGGCAAATTTCAATTTGAAAATGGAATGTTCTATATTTGACCCTGTAACTTTCCAAAACACCATAAAACCTGTTAGTGGAGGGTACTGTTGTACTCGTGAGACATCGCTGATTACAATTATGTGCATTTTTTTCCAGTAAAACCTAACAGTATTATGACATTCACAGCTAAAATGTGAGGCGGAACTACAATTTTTTTTTTTTTTATATTTAAAATTTCTCACAGTCTTTTTAATTTTATTCATAATAAATTATGTTTCATATATAAATATTTGATATGAAATGAAAGCCCTGTTTCTCCTGAAAATTATATATAATAAGTGTGGGTGCATTTAATATGAAAGAGGTGAATTACGGTTGAACAGACATATAGCGCAAATTCCAGTTTTTGTCTACGTTTTGTTTTGATCAGAACGTGTACTATTGACTCCGTCCTGAAGGGGTTAAAGGAATATAGTGTTGGGAACCCAAACATGATGCTTCCGCTCAGCTGAATGTCAGACTTTTTCAGACTTTCTCCATTATAAATGCATGCTATGCTGATACAGCAGAGCTCTATTTCTTGCTGGACAAGCATACTTTTCATCTCTCATTACTATATACTCTCAAATTCCCAGGCATCTCATTAATCCCTTCAACTTCCTACTTTACCCCTATCTGGCCACTCCCTATTCGTAACCTTACAACTGATAACTTTGCATGCTATTTTACTGAGAAGATAAAACATTTAAGGATAGGATTCTCACTCACTTCTCTTTCTCAACCTGAATTGAACTGTGTGACTTTCTTTCCAGTTAATGAACTGCCCTCTTTCTTCTGGAATTGTCCCTATTCCCCATAAATAAACTAGTATCATACCTATCATGAAAAATCAACTCTTTATCCATCTTCCCCATCCAACTACCACCCTATTTCTCTACTCCCATTCTCAGTGTTTATGGAATGACTTGTCTGTAGCCATCTGTTTTAAGGCACTTCTTAAACGATTGAAGGCTAGGGGAGAGTCTGATGGTGGTAGGCAGGCTATTCCAGAGGAAGGGAGCAACCCGTGAGAAGTCCTGCAAGCGTGAGTTGGCTGTATGGGTGCGAGCAGCGGACAGGAGAAGACCAAGAAGGGGCATACCTTTGGATCTGTGAAGAGATATAAGAGGGGCTAGAATTGTTCAATGCTTCATAGGCATGGATTACTACTTTTAATTGACTGCTATAGGATACAGGAAGCCAATGTAAGGACTGACAGAGAGGTAAGGTGTGAGAGGACCGACTGAAGAGGAAAATCAGTCTGGCAGCAGCATTCATTACAGACTGTAGCGGAGCAATACAGCTTTTGGGAAGACCAATTAGGAAAGGGTTAAATAATCCATGTGAGAAATTACTAGAGCATGGACAAGTAGCATCTTGCGTAAGAAATGGGCGGATGCAGGCTATGGTTTTTGTTTTTTTCAATTTGACAATTTTTATTGTAATTCAGTAACAAGTTTATATTGTCTTTATACTGCAGAGTTCATAAAAGTATTATTTGGTACAGTTCATGTTGTCAACAAGCAACGTAGGGTCATGTAATACATTTGGCACAGTCATTACAGTGTTGGGCGAGATCTACATAGTTATCACAACTGCAATCTTTAAGTTTGGATTCCAATATTGTTGAATGGGTAAGGCAGTGGCTGAGTGACAGGCAACAGAGGGTTGTAGTCAATGGAGTATATTCAAAGCATGGGCCTGTCACCAGTGGGGTACCTCAGGGATCTGTACTTGGACCCATTCTCTTTAATTTTTTTATTAGTGATATTGCAGAAGATCTTGATGGTAAGGTACTTTTTGCTGATGATACTAAGATATGTAACAGGGTTGATGTTCCAGTAGGGATAAGCCAAGTGGCAAATTATTTAGGTAAACTAGAAAAATGGTCAGAGTTGTGGCAACTGACATTTAATGTGGATAAGTGCAAGATAATGCATCTTGGATGTAAAAACCCAAGGGCAGAGTACAGAGTCCTAACCTCAACATCTGAGGAAAGGGATTTAGGGGTGATTATGTCTGATGACTTAAAGGTAGGCAGACAATGTAAAAGAGCAGCAGGAAATGCTAGCAGAATGTTTGGTTATATAGGGAGAGGTATTCGCAGTAGAAAGAGGTAAATGCTCATGCCCTTGTACAGAACAGTGGTGAGACCTCACTTGGAGTATTGTACGCAGTACTGGAGACAGTATCTCCAGAAGGATATTGATACTTTAGAGAGAGTTCAGAGAAGCGCTACTAAACTGGTTCATGGATTGCAGGATAAAACTTACAAGGAAAGGTTAAAGGAACTTAATATGTATAGCTTGGAGGAAAGACGAGACAGGGGGGATATGATAGAAACATTTAAATACATAAAGGGACTCAACACAGTAAAGGAGGAGACTATATTTAATAGAAGAAAAACTACCACAACAAGAGGACATAGTCTTAAATTAGAGGGGCAAAGGTTTAAAAATAATATACGGAAGTATTACTTTACTGAGAGGGTAGTGGATGCATGGAATAGCTAGAACTATAAGATATGGCCAGGGACTAATGAAAGTATTTTAAACAAAATTGGGCAGACTAGATGGGCCGAATGGTTCTTAACTGCCGTCATTCTATGTTTCTACATTGGCAGTTATCACATTGGCAGTAGCAGCAACAGTCTATCCAGGCCCTCAGCCAGTGACCCATTGCATGGGTAATCTAGAGCAACAGGTGTATGACCAGTATCGTGGAGTTCAGGACTTAGTTGCAGTGTCTATGACTGCTCTGGGCTATTTATAGTCGCTCATAGTCAATCCACCCTATGTCTGTGGTGATGTCCTACCCAGTGGCGTACACATGACCCATGGGGCCCCGGTGCGAAAGTTGATCCGTGGGCCCCCCCGCGCGCGCGGGCCGGACCGCAACACATGGAGGTGGGCACCTGGTCGCAGGGGTTACAGGGCTGCGACCCCTGCGACCGCGGTATGTACGCCAGTGCATGCAGAAGCACACACACTTAAAGGACCACTCTAGGCACCCAGACCACTTCAGCTTAATGAAGTGGTCTGGGTGCCAGGTCCAGCTAGGGTTAACCCATTTTTTCATAAACATAGCAGTTTCAGAGAAACTGCTATGTTTATGAATGGGTTAAGCCTTCCCCTATTTCCTCTAGTGGCTGTCTCATTGACAGCCGCTAGAGGCGCTTGCGTGCTTCTCACTGTGATTTTCACAGTGAGAGCACGCCAGCGTCCATAGGAAAGCATTATGAATGCTTTCCTATGTGACCGGCTGAATGCGCGCGCAGCTCTTGCCGCGCGTGCGCATACAGCCGACGGGGAGAAGGAGGAGGAGAGGAGGAGGAGAGCTCTCCGCCCAGCGCTGAAAAAAGGTAAGTTTTACCCCTTTCCAGAGCTGGGCGGGAGGAGGCTGAGTGGGGGCACCCTCAAGGCACTATAATGCCAGGAAAACGAGTATACTGGCACTATAGTGGTCCTTTAAGGACCACTACAGACACCCAGATCATCAGGTCCCTCTAGTTTTAACCCTGCAGCTGAAAACATAGCAGTTTCAGAGAAACTGCTGTTTCACTGAGGGTTAATCCAGCCTCTAGTGGCTGTCTCACTGACAGCCGCTAGAGGAGCACACTGAACGTCCATAGGAAAGCATTGAGTAATGCTTTCCTATGGGCGGTTTGAATGCGTGCGCAGTCGCATTCGGAGCTGAGAGGCTGAGGGATCCCCAGCGCCAAGGGAGTCCGGCGCTGGAGAAAGGTAAGTGCAGAAGACACACACACACACACACACACTTACAGACGCATACACACTAGCTAACAGACACACACATTTACTCACAGAGACACAGTCAGCGACAGACATACATACACACTCACTTACAAAACATACACTCTCATTGACAAACACACACTCACTAACAGACATCAAACAGACTCACTAACACACACACTCTGTAAGACACACACAGTAACACACTCACTGACACTCACTAGCAGACACACACACTCACACTCACTCTAACACTCACTAGCAGACACACACTAACACTTACTCTAACACTCACACACTCTAACACTCACTAGTAGACACACATACTAACACTCACACTGACACACACACTAACACTCACTAGCAGACACACACTAACACTCACACACACTAACACTCACTAGTAGACACACACACTAACACTCACTAGCAGACACACACTAACACTCACTAGCAGACACACACACTAACACTCACACACACTAACACTCACTCTAACACTCACACACACTAACACTCACAATCACTAACACTCACTCTAACACTCACACACACTCAAACACTAACACTATTATTATTATTTTTTTTTAATTTAATCCCCCCAGCCTCCTTACCTTTTAGAGTGCTGGGGGGATTCCCTGGGGTCCAGTGGTGCTGCTGACCCCAGGCAGGCGGGTGGCCGGTCGGGCACTCACTGCTTCCTCTTCAGCTCCCACGCGCGCCGCGTAGGGATGCCGGCGCCGGAAGATGACGTCATCTTCCGGCTCTGGTATCAGTGCGGTGCGCGAGGGAGCTGAAGAGAAAGCAGTGAGTGCTCCCTCGCGCGCCCGCCTGCCTGGGGTCAGCAGGGCCAGCCTCGGGGGGCCCTGGGGTGGCCGGCTCCTGGGCCCCCCAGGGGAAGAGGCTGGCCCAGTGGCTACATACCGGGTCGCAGGGGCGGCGGGGCCCCCTGGTGGGCCGGGCCCGGTCGCAGCCGCGACCCCTGCGACCCTGGTATGTACGCCACTGGTCCTACCACTAAGGAAAGTGTAATCTCTTCTGAGGGTAACATTGTTTTTATCCCACAGGATGTGATACCAATCTGTATGTGGACTTTTGGTGTAGATAGCCACAACCCCTAGATCAATGTCCACCAGTAGTCTGACGCCTGCTGGTGTTTTACTTTGTCAGTTTTGTTCCTAGGCCTTGCTGTCATTGCGTACTCCGACCCCGGTTGACCACATAGTTTGTGATCTCAGATCAGCTTAGGTTTGTTGACCCTTTGTCCCATGTGCCCATGTCTGCGGTTCATGTGTAGTCCATGAACCATAGCTCATGTGCGATTAATATTCGTCAGAACTGGGGTAGTGTTAGAAATGTAAGCAAACAAAATATCATATAAACTATGTACATTGTGGGTAACTTTGTGGGATATCCCTGTGCATGTGAGTGCTTAATGCTGTGGGCATGCATGCTTATGCATCAGATTAAAAATGCAGGAAAAGAGCATGTGTCAGAAGTACTCTCTCGCCTCTTTTTTTTGTTTTGTCTTCCTCCTTCCCCCTTCTCTTTCTCCCTTCTCGAGACCGCCTCTCTCCAGAGGTTTCTGGTCGACGCTACTCTGATTATGTGGTGTCCCCAGTGGTGTCCTGTGGTGAGTGAACAATTTCTGGAGATTGTCAATATATGATTTGGGAAATGGGATTTGTAAGGTCCGCAGTAGGTATTGGAATTTTGGTAGGAGAGTCATTTTCGGTGCTGCAAGTCTACCCAGCCATCAGAGGAGCTTTCCATCCCACGATTTTAATGTGACTGATAGTTTATCAGCCAACTTCCCGTAGTTACTTTGGAATAATGCATCTGGGTTTTTGGTGATGGTGAGCCCTAAGAAAGTGACATTGTCTGTCCTCCAGTCTAATGCATAGGTGGTCTGTAATGCAGTTATGACATCCCTATGTAAACCCACCCCCAGAGCTTGGGTTAGTTTATAGTATGATTATTTTCCATATGTGGTTATTTTTTCCAAGAGGCTCGGTTGCGATGTCTGGGGCTGAGTCAAAGTCAATAATACATAATCTTCAAATAAGTTTGCTTTGTATTCCTTGTCGCCAATTTGAACCCCGTGTACTTGTTGTTCCTAATTCTGGCTACGAGCGGCTCCAATGCCACAACATAGAGTAGAGGAGACAGTGGGCATCCTTGACGCAACTCATTGGAAATATCAAATGGGTCAGACACGAAGCACACATTTAGTACTTGAGCTGATGGTGAACTATATAATGCCCTGACCACTGATATAAACTCTGTCGGGAAGCCGAACTTAAAAAGTGCTCGCTCTAAGAAGGTCCAGTCTAGACTGTCGAAGGCCTTCTCTGCATCAAGGGAGAGGATCCCTGCTGTTTTTCCTTAGGCTATGCATAATATCCTTACCTTAAGAGAGTTATCTGTGCCCTGTCTGCCAGTAATGAAGAACACCTGATCATTGTGGATTATGTGGGGTAAAAATTCACTCAACCTCTTCGCGTAGATTTTAGCAAATAACTTTGCATCTGTGTTTAGGAGCAAAATTGGTCTAAAATTTGGGGGATATGTGGGGTGATTTCCGGGCTTCGGCAGTGTTGCGATATGCGCTACCAACATTTATTTTCTAAATGTTTCCGAGTGAACTGCTTTTGTGAAAGCCTTAACTAAGTGCGGGGCTAGTATCGACCGGAAATTTTTGTAGTAGGAATTATGTAGGCCATCCGGTCCAGGCACCTTCCAGATGGTAGAGCTTTAATGGCTTCCTTAACCTCCTCTTCAGTTATAGGGTTGGATAAAGATTTCTGCTGAGCTGGTGATAAACGGGGTAAATGGATTGTGTCTAAATATGCATTAATATTATCTTGTGGAGGTTGGTGAATGGTCATGTCTTTGTAAAGATTGTAGAGGTCAGCATAGTAGCTGGCGAACTCAATGCTGATTTCTCAAGGTATCATGCATTTTTCCCCATTTGGTTTAAGGAGGTATGCTATTTTTTTGTTTGGCCTGTTGTTCCTTTAGCCTACTGGCTGAGAGCCTGATTGCCTTGTTGCATTGCGTGTAACTTTCAGTTTTTAAAAGTTTGTGCGCTCTAGAGCATGCTGGTGGATTTTTCTGGTGAGGAACAGAATTCTATCTCTCATCTTAGAATCGGGTGTTATTTGGTTTTGCATGTTTAGGTGACACAGTTCTTGCTGCCATTGTAGTAATTGGGTTTGTGTTGTTTTTTTGTTTTTTTTTAAGTAGGACGCCCACTGTAGCGGAGATGCAATACTCCCCAGGTTATCTCCGCTTATAATCCAAGTGAGGCTCAGGAACAAGTAAATAGTAAATCCACAGGCAAGGTTTCCAGCAGGTAAAATAACAGCAATATCCCAACAGCAATCCCAATAACTGGACAACACACAGTTTCAGGAGCAGAACTGAAATCTTTTAATCCACACTGTCCTTTTAAAGCATGCTCCCATGCAAGGGAGGGATTTACAATCATTAGTATAGTAGCCAATCCTGTCCTGGTAACCTCCCACACATCTCCTCCCCTCCCACACATCTCCTCCCTTATCCAGTCTAGCAATTCCCCCCGTTTCTGGATGTACCCCTAAACGTAGGGGTACCCCTTTAAATCCTATATCCCCTGATAGCCCTGATCTGGGTGAACAACATATCCAAAAATCACCCAGATCAGACCAGGGGTTCGGGAAATGTATGCGGTTCCATGCGAATAGGCCCTGCGGTCGGTCCTGGAATAAGGGAACAGACATTGCGAAAGCCTCTAGCTATAGAGGCTAGGGAGGGTTCGCCTGAATCCCCTCGTTCGGTTCTTCCTGTCTACCGAACGAGGGGCCGTTCGGTAGTTAGGAACCAAACGGACCGGGCTTGTGGAGGTTTCAGAGGTGTTCGCCTAGTCGAGTGTCCGATTTGAGTTCCAGACACTCGACGGCAAAACACCGCCGTTCGGGAGTTTTAAAATGGCCGCCGCCACGTGTTCGTTTGTCGAATGGCGGCCACCCCCGAGAACAAAGGACGGCTACTTAACTTGTCAATTACCCGTTCGGAACAATGTTGCAACGGGTAATTGAGGACACAGTTCACATAGGGGAGGTCTGATTGTTCGGTAGTTTCATTCCCTTAGTCTATTCGATTGATTCTACCGAACAATCAGAGGAATACAATTCTTTTAAACACATACAAAAACCCAGCAATTTACATGAATGCAGCTATTCACAAAACATTTGCAGCCCAGTGCCATCCGCTACACTGCTCCCCCTTGCCCACAAGCCGGCATACACAGTCTGATCCAACACGGATCGGCTTGGGGATGTCCGGGGACTCACAGATCATTTTTCCAGGTCAGTTTGTCTCGACAACCCGTCGGCATTCCCATTCTGTTTACCCGGGCGGTACTGAATATTAAAGTCAAAGGGCTGCAGCGCCAAACTCCAGCGCAGCAGCCTGGCATTGTCTCCAGCCACCCGGTTTAGCCATACCAGCGGGTTGTGATCCGTGAGTAAGGAAAAGGGCTGTCCGTATAGATACGGCTGCAGTTTCTTTAAGGCCCACACCATAGCCTGGCATTCCTTCTCGATAGCGGCGTAGCTTACTTCTCGGGGTAACAGCTTGCGACTTATGTAAGCCACGGGGTGTTCTCCGCCATCGGCCCCGACTTGGCTCAGTACTGCTCCCAATCCAAACATAGAAGCATCTGTGTGAACAAGAAAACGTTTAGTTGGATTGGGAGCTGCCAAGACAGGGGCATTTATCAGTGCATTTTTCAGATGTTGGAATGCCTGCTCACACTCCGGGGTCCAGGTCACCTGGCGGGGCAAATTCTTCCGGGTAAGGTCAGTGAGGGGCTTGGCTAGGGCACTATAGTTAGGGACAAATTTTCTGTAATACCCAGCGGTCCCTAGAAATGCTAAAACCTGGGTTTTAGTCCTAGGGGTGGGCCACTGGGCCACGGCCTCTACTTTGGCTGGTTCGGGCTTCTGTTTGCCGCACCCCAC